AACCAAAAATGTCAATCATATTAATTTTTGTTATAATATTTTGTATATGGGCTACGTTAATATGACCAACATATATTGTTATCACTAATCATAAAAAGAGATTTTGCAATAGAATTTAAATTCTCTTCTATTGTAGCAGAAATGGAATGTTTAGTTTTATTTTAACTTAAGTAAAAATGAATTTACTTAAGCGAAAATGCAATAGTGACCAAAAAAATTACACAAAATTTGCTTAAATAAATTTTAAAAAACACCATCTTCCATATTAGAAGCAAGAGAGGTTAAGGAAGCTAGGTGTGGGGGGATGAAGGGAGCATGAGGGGTGGGTGTGGAGAGAAGAGATTGGGGAAGGGGAGAAGAAAGGGTGGAAGAGTTGAAAGGGGGTTGGGCACAAGAGAAAACTAGACAGTGGAACTACATAACTTTTTGCTATTCTTACTTGAGTGAGAGATATCTTACTTGAGCGAGAATGAATCTAGAAAGTTTCTTATTTTTTTTACGACTCCTCACCTAAGCGAGGTTGTTTCTTGCCTGAGTGAAATTTCTTCTTGCCTAGGCGAGAGGATAGTTGGGGCGGTCTTATCTTATCTCGCTTGAGCGAGATCGCTCCTGAATACACAAATCAGCATGAACTAATCTCGCTTGAGTGAGATACACCTCGCTTGAGTAAGAAATCCTACACCCAAAACTCTCTATTTTTTCCAAAAATAAAGGTTTTACAAATCCTCTACTATATCTCTATGTTTCTACAAACATAAACACTTAATGGTTGATCTCAAGCCCTTAATGTAATCATATCAAACACAACAACCACTTAATATTGCAACCACACAACTCTCATTTAGTAACTATACAGCTCACACATACATAAATGCAAGCCATTTCATATCATTATCAACATGCAACATCATCTTTAAAAGAAAAAGTGTATATATATAATACAGGCCTGACAATCTTTATCTTCTTATATAATCCATTCTTCTAGGATTATTAATTTTATATGTTTAAATTTCTTAGAAAATTTTACCATACTTCTATTAGGATTAGCTTGTATTACTATAGTTTCATCAATAAGTGTTTCTTTCTTAACTTGAAATATATAATTTATTTTTGTAATTTAATAATATACTCTATAAATTAGGTGGAATGGATCCTAAGAATCACCCATTATATGATTTGGTGACTTTATAAATATTTTTACAATTTTTAAAGTTTTTTCATTATTCAAACTCATAAAAAAATTTAAAAAACAATTAAAGAAAACTAGTCTGTTGTGGAGATTACTTTCTAAAGGAGTTGTTATTGAATTTCTCATTCTTAATAGTTTCATATCTTTTAGAAGTACTAAAATAGGAAGATATACTCCTATCTTATAGTTTGGTTTTAATGCTAATTGTAATAAATCTAAATGATATTTTTGTAATATATGATATTCTACCTTTTACTAGCAATAACTTTTTTAATTGAGTATCGTTATTATAATTATAAACATTAAATGGTTTAGAGTAATGTAAATTCAAAACTAAAAGGGTTTAAATTTTTTAAAAATATGACACTACATGATTAAAAATTCGGTACAAATAGAAAGTTATAATGACCACACGTACCATGCACAAACAGTACAAAATCTATGGCTTTCAACAACACCTATTAGTAATTTCAAGGGTTGATGAGTGTGGAAAACCACACACAAATAGGACATGATATTAGTTATTTCAAGGTAATAAACCTACCATTCTAAGATAAATTAATATTTTAAGTAAATTTAAAAAAAAAATTTATATTAATATAAATTTAAAAAAATTTATACTTAACCTGAGTCTTTTATTTATTATGATTACATTTAACAAAAATAAATTAATAGCAATGATCAAACATAGGTCATTTCAAAAAATTAAGAATTAAAAGTATAAATAAAAAAGTAGAGACAAAATCAAAAGTTGATATTTAAAATATATTAAAAAACATATATTTACTTGTCGTTGTATGTCTTTTCTGGTGACCATATTTGGGGAGAATATTTTTTTATCCATTTCCTAGCTTTAATACATTCCCTCTTGTGTCGAATCTTGTGCCTTTAATTTATATCAGCATCAGATTCCCAAATTATAAAGATAAAGATAGAAGCGTTAAATCCTTCCTATCCCCGTCTCCAGTTTTATTTATTTATTTATATTATTATTATTATTATTATTATTATTATTATTATTATTTTTCGATTGAAATTTAATACAAGGACTCAATATGAAGAAGAGTGATTAAAAGTAGATTTGAGTAATCTATTTGAAAAAAAAATATTTAAGTAATCTATTTATTTAAAATGTTCTAGACTAACTTAGACTTAATTGAAATTTGTATTTTTAATTACTTTTTGTCTTTAATTTTAAGCTTTAGACTATTTTAAGATTATTTTTAATATATATATATATATATATTAATTTATATCCTTTATTTTAATTTTTAGATTTGAACTCTAATACTAATATAAGATTTAGTATGTAAACTCAATCTAAAAGTGAGGAAAAGTGATCAGGTTTAAATTTAAGTAGTTTACTTACTTTTTTTTCACCTCTTTGTTTTTTTTTTACAATTCATTAATTTAATTTTGTAATTATTTTTTTTACAATGCCCTTAACAATAATTTAATTTACTATTTTTTATTTTTATTAAATATTTTTTTTTCTTTACAACTTCATTCTTCGTCACTACTAGCACTTCATTTTTCCTCTCTATTACTCAAAGATCCATTGTTCTTTCATCGACACATTCTTTGAGCGTATTTCAAGCTTACTCTCTAAGTATATCAATTATTTTGAATGTATAGTATTGTATAAAACAATTGACATCATTGTGGAGTGTTATTGACTATCAATGTCAGTTTTCTTCGAATAATAAGTTTTTAGAATTGGAATTTTACATTTCTAAAAATAAGTTTTTAAATAATGTTTTCACAATTTTGAAAAATATTAATTTATCTTGAAAATAAGTCTTCAGAATTTGAATTCTACACTTTTTAAAAAATAATTTTCTGAGTTATTAACAATTTTTTAAATTAAGTTTTTGAAATTCGAATTATACACTTTCAGAAATTGATTTCAAGAAGCGTAAACTCTATTCCAGAAACATATTTTCGAAAGTACAGAATCTTATTCTCATAAACTTATTTATGAAAAGAATTATAATTATCAAAATTAATCTCTAAAAATGTGAAAAATTAATTTTCAAAACTTATATTGAGAAGATCTTTTGATTATTATAACAAAAAGTTTTTGAGAAAAAAGTTACAAATTTTTTTAATAGATGCAAAAAGAAAATAAAAAGTGTAGAAGGAATTCTCTTTGGACAAAAACTTGAGAGCCTTTTGTTTATATATCATTTAATTTTTATCGTTAATCTATCATATTAAAATTTAGTATATAGGTCTAATCTAATAGTAAAGAGTGTTTAAACTACAAGTTTAAGAGAAGTGATTCTTTAAAATGTCTTAGACAATTTTAGAGTAAAACTCTCTTAGATTTAAATATTATTTGATATGTTATTAACCTACCAACATAAGATTTATATATCTTAATAATTCCTTTAAAGTCTAACTAGCTTTTGAAAAGTTAAAATTTGCATATTTTTTAATTTTTTTTAGTATGAGCTTATAACTTTAATTTTTTTTAGACATTTCTTTGGTTTTTTTTAGGATTTTTTTATTCTTAAATTTTTATTTATGCTACAAATCTTATTGTTATTTTTATTTGACCTTTGTTTTAATTTTTATTTTTTTATTTGAATTTGGATTTTGATACCATAATAGGATTTTAATATATAGGCCTAATCTAATAGTGAGGAGTGTTTGAGCCTACACATTTTTATTTTTTAAATTAATTGATTGATATTATATATTTTTTTAACCATAAATATTTTTTATTGAACAATTTTTTATTAGTTATCCACGTATTTGGTAGTAATTAATATCGTGTTTAATATAATTTATATTTTTTTATTTTTTATTTATTTTTGGAAAAATTACATTTATACATCTTTAGATTTAAAAAAAGTTTAATCGACTTTTCTTATTTTCTAAATTACTTTAAATTTTTTTATTCATAAAACTATATAAAATTAGGGATGATTTGCATAATCAAGAATAGTATGCAGTTTTATGTAGTTACATAAATTAAGTAATGTTTGTGTATACTTAAAAGAAAAATGGTGTATCAAATGAGTTTCATTGAATTTCAGGGAGCAACAACATGAACTTTTTCAAATGGAAGTAATTTAAGGATTTAATTATTTTGATATTTTTTTTTGTATATGTTATGCTAATTAATTTTTTTATATTAAGTATTTGGTTTTTAATTTATATCAATTTTAATTTTTTTGTAATTTATTTTTAATTTTAAAAAAAGTTCCTTTATTTAATATAACAGATATTATTAATAATTATTATAATATAAGAAAACAATAAAAGTTTTTTCGCTTTAATAAGAAAACTACATTTCCCTAAAAAGCTGGTGTTATTTGAACTAATACTTTCTGTCTCTCAGCACAACTTATTTACCAAAATAACATGCTGTGAGCTAATTATCATAAGATTGAACTTACTGTCAACTATAACAGAGCCCATACAAATTTAGAATTTAAAAATATTTGGTTTAAAAGACAAAAGTATTATTAGTAATAAAAAAATTTAAAAATTTGAAGCATGTTTGATTTCTTTTTATAAATAGAAAATATATTATATTTTATTTTTACTATTTTTAAAAAGGATGTCATGAAGTCCAAGGATAATTTCCAATTCTTAAGATCTAAGAAAAAGATAGACCGGGAAATTATCCACTACGTGTTGGCTATGCACATTCGTCAAAGAAATCACGGTTGACCACAAAGAACAAAATTATAGACAACATGTTATTGGTGACACGTTTTTCAAATCAACAGAACATGGAATAGCAATCCGCAGAGGATCCAATCTCCAGTCTTCCCGGTATCTACAAAATAGGAGTACGTGAAACTCTCCCACCGTAACATCGAAGCGAGAAAGAGAGAGAGAGAGAGAGAGAGAGAGAGAAGCACACAGAGAGAAGGATAATGGCAACACTTGGTGGCGCTCGTGACGTGGCAGGAAGCCAGAACAGCGTTGAGATCGATAGTATAGCTCGTTTTGCTGTTGACGACCATAACAAAAAACAGGTTTTTTTTTCTTATTTTTATTTTCTTTAAAAGACGAAGGACGATATTAATTGTATTTTGTTCTACATTTGTTTCTTTCCCGATAAATTTCTATGATTTGTGTTAATTTCGTATTGGGTGGTCACGCCGATGATCGGTTTTGGCCGTGTTTCGTTTGATCGGAAGTACACATGTTGAATTAGATTCTCTCTGTCTCTTTGCAGTTTCTTTTTAATGTTGGTTGATTGATCGTTTTTCGAAATTTTTTAGTGGAGATAGTGGGTTTTGTCGCATGATTGTGGATGAAATAGTTAATGTTAACAATTAATCAAGGGAGTGTTACCAAGAGCTTCTGAAGAGTTTATAGAAATAGTTTATGATTCTCGTAATTTTTTTAGCTTATTTTAATAATTGATTATTTTTATAGACCGAAATTTATATTGCCAATTGATTTGATTCTTAATATTTTTAGACCTGTTAATTTAGATATTGAATTTAATAAATATTAAATTGATTGAATGACACCAAAATTAGGATCAAGTTGACTGTTAATTATTAAATTACTTTTTCATAATGGACCAAATCAATTGATAATTGTTAACATTCAGGATTGAGTTTGCATATTTATCATGTCTAAGTAGACTGGTGGTGGCAATTTCAGTGACTAAGTTGATTTTTTATTCTTTTGCAGTTCTAGAAACTCAAGCGGGTTTCTATTTTCTTTTTATTCTGTGACAAAGGAATTTGAGTTTGAATTTTATCTTGTTTTCTACTTTTTTTTTTTTTATTATTATTATTGAATTGGTGATGGTTATGCAGAATGCACTTCTGGAGTTTGGAAGAGTGATAAGTGCAAAACAGCAAGTGGTTGCTGGTACCATGTACCACATCACTTTAGAGGCAAAAGATGGTGGGGCGAAAAAGGTTTATGAAACCAAGGTTTGGGAGAAGGCATGGTTGAACTTCAAAGAGGTGCAAGAGTTCAAGCTTGTTGGAGATGCACCTGCAGGGTCTAGTGCTTAGCTAGGTATTTGATTACATTACACCATTGATCCTTCCTGATTTTTAAGTATGAATTGTTTATGATGAATGCAAATTTTCAATAGTATTGAATTTTTCTTTTGGCTATTTGAATGATCTCAGAAACTGAGTTTAGAATGAATAGGGGAAGAGTTGGGGAAGGGAGTTAAAAGAACAAAATATTGTAGTTTGGAATATATCTCTGATTTAACATTAGGGTTTATTTGTCAGTACAGTTGTGATATTGATGATTGATAATGTTCGTTCATTTACTGGCATGTAATTACTATCTGTTGTAGAAACTGCTATGCATCCCACTACAATAAGTTGTAGATCATCACTGCTATAAGATACATGGGAAATTAGTCATTTTTCAAATTTGTTGATGACTCAACTTGAGGGTAATGGCAGGGATATATTGGTGGCCATGAAGTTAGTCAAAGTTAAACATTTTATGCAATTAAATTAGTTCTTTTTCAATTTATTCTTTGAACAGATTCACTGAAGGTTATTTTCCCCCAACTGAGAAAGATAAATGGCACATTTTGCATGAGTTTTACAACATTTGAAACTTGAAAGTGAAAAGCATTTTATCACAATTTCTCTTAAGTTTTTATGGTCTAGTGATTGGGGAGAATGACCTTTTGATTTACCTTCAAGGACTAAGGTCATGTATCAGATGACTAATCTAGTACTCATGTAGTTCATTCTTTTCTTTTTTGGTGAGCAGAGAAATACTTTTAAAGCTAGGAATTTTCACTGTTTTCCTTTGCACAAATGCTCTCTTGAACCCATTTACATTTCTTTGCTTGTTCTGTATCAAGATCTCTGGTTCCTGCATAAGGACCGCTGTTAGTACAATATGCATTAGTAAATTTCTGTGCTTTTACCATTAACATAACATCTGAATAATACTTATTATACACAATTAAGGGATCACTAACTGGGTATTCCCTTTAGGATCATCAGGTCACTAATGATTATGTATTTTCATTTTTGGTTATTTTCTGGCTAATACCATAAAACTTTGAAAAGGATAACGGATTCCAAATCAAAATATCTCCACTCAAACTCCAAGTGAGAAACTAAAAGGACACAATTAACAATTTTCAGTTAACTCTGATGCAGCCATTTCATTTTTTTTATTTTTTTTTTGGTGTTCCAGTACTAATATTTTATCTGGGTTAACATGGGACAAACCTAAGGTTTTATCTTAGAAATAACTGTTGACCTTTAATATTGACCTTATTGTGTTGGTTTGTGAGGTGAAACTTCATTTTTAATTAGACAACAATACCAAAAACACATGGTTTCATGTCCCTAGTTTGGATTTATTAAGAGAGTCTTTCTTGATTTTTCAGGTTACTTAAGAATGAAGACAGCTTGGCTCGAAGGTAAAAGCCAATGGATGTATAGAAGCATCCTATGTATGAAATAAATGTAGCTATGACCTTCGGTATTTGATATTTGAAGCAGTAACGCTACACATTTTGTATGCATTTAGCATCTTATTTAAAGGCTGAATACAAAAAATATATTATCCTTTTTTGTGTGAATATTATCAACTGATGTTGCATATGTTGCAAGATGAAATATTGAGACCTTTTACGGAAGTATATATAAACAGTGAAAATAAATGAACTGTGTGAGTGCACCAAACCACCGTTGAATGCTGATTTCGAAGCAAGAGGTTACAACTCCTCATCGCATATCAAACATCAAGTTCTGGTCTGCTTCATTTACAATTTACATTCAACTCGAGTCAATCTAATGTTAGTCTCATCCATTTTAGTATTTACCAAGAGTTTGGAAAATGGAGAATATCATAAGGAGTATCTAACTATATTGATAGAGTGAAGCTAATCTTATAAGAGTTAATTCTACCCTGTTTATGATGTCTAGTTATGTTACAAGGTGAATTTGTACAAGAAAAGAGTTTAAACATGAAGATAGAGCTCCGAGGATCTAATTCACTTCTCTTTTAGTTATGCATATACTTTGACCTCCTTGTTTCAAATATACCATGGGTCCTGGGCGAGGGTTGAATACCTAGAAAAAGCATTCTAACACTTTAGTTAGTGAGAGATCTTTAGAGGGAGACTGAAAGACAGAATGATGAATACCTGAACTATGAAGCAAAGGCATCTCTCTTCTTTGAAGTGTATATTGGACACGTTTATACTTGTTCATTATATGTAGGGTATTAAAAGATTGTTTTTTATCGGCTTAAACACTTGAGCTGAAACTTAAGGACACCTCTTTCAATATAAATGGACACCCATACACCAATATTGTTAAAAAGAAAACAAATTTTAACTATTGAAAAACTTGAAATATAATTTAAAATATTTAGAAAATACAGCTTTTATTTTGCAAGGCTCATTATCATAAAAATAAAATAAAATAAAATTTAATATTTTAGCTTTAGAAGGTGAATATGATATCATTTTATCTTTTCTTGAGATTTTTCTTTGGTAAACAAACCCAATACTTATACTGTAAAATAAATTTATTTTAATATGTTTTAGAAGCTTTTTGTTATTATTATATGAGGTGTTCCGATGTCAAATATTTTGAACTTGTCGTGTAAGGGTGTTCTTATCGTGGTTCGTACTTCATAGTAGCTGAAGGTTTTGGCTTATCTTTTTTGAGGTTATGTGTCTACCCTCCTTGCCCTTGCAAGTTAAGAAATTTTTCTGGTCACTCATGTGGTATGTATTTTTTCCTCGTAATTTATAAAATTGACAATGTGAGTGGCTCAGTAATTTTTCCAAGACAAAGCAATTCACAGCATAAAATATGCATAGCATAACGGCTTGGATCAAGGAGTTTTGTTTGTCCTTGGAATTAGCAATGGTCTCTCACATAGTGAGACCGCTTTGGAGTTATTGACCCTGTGTATGGGGTTGACCAAACCCATTAGGATTCATCTCGGAACATGATATTGTCCAATTTTGCATTCATAAATCACTACAAACTACATGGCTATAGTTTTTCCTTAGTAGTTTGTTTGAATTGTTTGAGTTATCTTGTATATTTCAAAATAGCGATTTTTGCCTAAGGAAATCTACAATTTCCTATGTTAAAATTTGAGTCGTGTGTAATTTAGTTTCTAACATTTAACAAGGTACATTTTACTCCCTAATAGTTTTAAAATGTGCAAAATAACTCTTCTGTGCGTATTGCTTTCTATCTAAGCGTAAAGTGTTCAAGACAAAGGGCATCTGAAGGATATACGAAACAGCAAACTGAACTGCATAGAGCTTCTCTGTGAAAAAAAGAATATAGAAATACATATCACCAGAAAACTTGGGATTTTTGGGAATTTAAACTCGAGCAAGAGGAAAGTGTTTCATGGTTCCCTTGGTCTAGTGCTAATGATGTTTCATGGTTCCCTTGGTCTAGTGCCAATGATGTTCCCCTTCATTTCTTTTAGACAATTACTTGTGGTTCCCAAGCATTTCTTAGCATGCCTTGGTCTTGGAGTTAGTAACATTACAACTGAAAATAAAAGGAATATTACAATTATCCATATACAGATTCCACTGTTCACCTATTGTCTTTAACGTAATAAAACACCTTGGAATGTCTTCTCTTTACTCAAAATATTCATAACAGTAGTCAGTCTCCTTTGAGACATAACATTGTCATCTGTTTGGTAGTGTCCGACATCTTGTGTTCACGTTGCAGGCAACTGATATTAATTGCAACACTTAAGAGTAATCATAAATATCACCAAACTTCACATTAAAATCTTGAAAAATCAAATATCACAGTTTAGACAATCTGTTGGTTATTTGAAAAATATAAAAAATTGAAATAAGGTAGAATAAAGGGTGAATTTGGATATACATGAACATGAGGCTTTATCTTATTGAGTTGCTAAACGTGTAATTATACAAAAATAAAGAAGATAAAACCGAAAAGATTTGTTGTTATTTAGCATAACATTTCTAAAGATAGAAAATAGAAAATCAAATATTTTAATCTTTACAAATATTTTACTTTTTATTATTTAAAAAATAAAACTAATTTGATAGTTTTACGAGTCATTTTAGTCAATACTCCTCTTCAACAATGGGGTTGCATACCCCAAGGTTTTTTTTTTCCTCTCAAGAAATCAAATTTGCCTGCCTTTGTTAGGATTTAAACATTTTGATATTCAGTTTTACAATAAATAAGTTGTACTTCTCTTAGAAAGAAAAATTTGACTTTGAAGTGTTTTGTTCTGCCATAAAACATTAGATCATTAACAATTGAAATGACATCTTGGTTGTCCACAAAAATATGTGCTTTTTGTGTATTTCAAATATAGGTTAGTCATGAGCTTTCAGATCCAAAATGCTTGGTTCACAACAGCAACACCAATTACACTATGAAAATACTTCAAAATCCAATGTTAAACAATAACACGAAGTTCTTATATCATCAACACATCCTACCCAAACACTATCAGAAGAACTAAAGAGGCTTAAACTTCTAGCTTGGTTGAATATTATTCCAAAATCAATGTGCTTTTAACATATCTAAGATATATTTTTTTCTTCTTTAAAGTGAATTTCACTAGAACAATGCATGTACCTTAATAGTAAATCCAACACATACTTAATATGGCCTGGTTACTATCAAAGACATCTGACAGTCTATCAAATTTCTATACACTCTTTCATAAACCTTTATAGCTTCATCTTCTTTGCAGAACTTCTTCTTTTTATTCATTGAAGTTGAAGTTGGTTTGCACTCTTGTATGTTGAATTTTTTAAGTACTTATTTTGCCTTTTTTTGGCACACATTTTTTATCTTGCTTTTGTTGCACCTGCATACTAAGGAAGACTGTCATCTTTTCATCTAAAAAAAAAATTTCTTCTTTGAACTTATCCATAATCACCTTGTGGCTTCTAGTAAGAAAAAAATAGTCAACATAAAGAGATACCACAAGTATTTCATTATCAACCTTTTTAACATTCAATGTAAATTTGTTTGAATTTTTTACAGAGCCTAAGCCTACCAAGTGTGCATCAATTCAAGTATACTATGATCTTGGTGCTAGTTTTAGCCTACATAAGGCCCCTTTTTTTTATATTTTATTTTATACACTTTCTCTTCCTATCCTTGAACAACAAACTCTCTAGTTGTTCAACAAGATTTCTTCCTCCAAGTATGCGTCCAAGAAGGCTGACTTGACATCCATCAAATGTATGACCCAATCATTTTATGCTACAAGTGCTAACAAAAACCTTATAATATCCATCATAGACATTGGAGTAAAAGTTTCAAAAGATCTACTCCAAAAACTCAGGCATATTATTTAACAACAAGCCTTGCTTTATGCTTGTTTATATAACTATTGGAATTAAATTTGGTCCTATAAATCGACTTAACTCCAATAGTTTTCTAATGATTGAGTTTGTTTGTCAATTTTCATGTTTGATTTTTTAGTCATCTTAAGCTTCTCCTTCACTACATCTATCTATTTTTTATAACTTGCAGTCTCTTCATATCCAATAGGAAGTTCCATGATGGCAACATTGTAGCTTTCATAAATGTCAGGAAGTAATATTTTTTCCTTTGACCAGTTCTTTATTTACATCTTCATTTGCCTCCTGAAATTTAATCTTCTTGTTATCTTCTCAACTCCAACTATCTAACTCTAATAATTTGACATCCCTGCTAACAATTACTTTGATTAGTATGGTAAATAGATTTTGTAAGCCTTTGAAATTAAGTTATAAAACACAAAAATTTTATATTTAACTTTCTTGTCTAGTTTATCTCTCCTAACTCGATGAATAAAAGAAAAAAAAAAGCAACTGAATATGTTCATATTGAGTCATTTAGGCTTATAACAAAATTATGCTTCAACATTACCAAAATTCGTGAATTATAGATAGATTTTATAGACATAAAATTTGTCTATATTACAGATGAATTTACATGACATATAAAAAAAATTATATATATATTTTAATTTTTGGGTAAATTTGTCTATAAATCTATCTATAATAAAGATGGATAAAATTTATCTATAAAATTCATTTATAAATGCATGCCATTTGGTATGTAATGTTATAGACAATTTTTTTTTTTTCATTTGTAACGTGGAAACATAAACTTGCCCTTTCATATAGCTTGTTATAAACGAAAAAATTTGTCTCTAACGACTTTAATAAAATGATATATATAACACCCTCAATTTTGTTGCCCTTATATTGTTAAATAGAAATTTTTGGTGCAGAATTTCTTGCTCAAGCAAGATATGTCTCACTCAAACAAGACAGAGTTTTTTGGGCCAAGTATTCTAGGCTACTCTTACTCAAGTGAGATAGGTATTGTTTAAGTGAGAGAGGATAATGTCGCCCAAACTGTTCTCTCCCCTAGGTGAGAAGTGGTCTCGCCTAGGCAGCCTCGCAGGAAAAAATGAAGAACTCTCTAGACCCATTCTCGCTTTGGTGAGAATGCCTCTAACTCATGTGAGATGTTACTCGCTCAAGCAAGAATGTCTCTCGCTTAGGCAAGAATAACAGAAGGTGTCACCAAGAGAGAGTAGGACTCGCTCAAATGAGAATGCGCAGATCTAGAGGGGTGTTTAAGTGATCTCAAAGCTGGAACT